TCCCTTTCCCCTCCCCCTCCTCCTTCCTTCCCTTCTCCTCCTTCCCTTCTCCTCTTCCTCCTCCTCCACCACCCATCCCTCTTCCCCCCCCTCCTCTCTTACCCCTTCCCCCCAATCCTTAAAATCCCTTTACCTTCATATCCGTGTACAAGTCGAGTCCCTTCCTCTTGAAAACGTCGTGTGACTTCTCCTGCAGGATGATGACCACGTCGCCCGCCTCCTGCCCTGCGTCTTGGTCTCCTTCGCCCCTCAGGAAGATCTTCGTGCCGTGGTGCATGCCTCGCTCGATGTCCACCTGGAAGGCATGTGGGGTCATGGTGGTTTTGGGAAGTACTTGTGGGTCTTTTTTGGTCTTTGCCTCGTTGTCTTATTTGGTCTTGGAAGTATTATTGGGTCTTGTTAGTACTCGTTTGTGTCTTTTATGTCGGGAAGTACGTTGTGGGGTCTTTATTTCTTGTTCTCGTTTGTGGGGTCTTTTTTATTGGTCTTTGTTAGTACTCGTTGTGGGTCCTTTATATGTCGGAAGTACTCGTTGTGGGGTCTTTTTATTGGTCTTTGTTAGTACTTCGTTGGGGTCTTTGGTCTTTGTTACTCGTTGTGGGGTCCCTTTATATGTCTACTCGTGTGGGGTCTTTTTATTGGTCTTTGTTAGCACTCGTTGTGGGGTCCCTTTATATGTCTGGAAGTACTCGTTGTGGGTCTTTTTTATTGGTCTTTGTTAGCACTCGTTGTGGGGTCCCTTTATATGTTGGGAAGTACTCGTTGTGGGGTCTTTTTATTGGTCTTTGTTAGTACTCGTTGTGGGGTCTCTTTTTCCGTGTTTGGAAGTATTTCGTTGTGGGGTCTCTTTATATATCTGGAAGTACTCGTTGTGGGGTCCCTTTATATGTCTTTGTTAGTACTCGTTGTGGGGTCTTTTTTCCGTTTTTGGAAGTATTCGTTGTAGGGTCCCTTTATATGTCTTTGTAAGTACAGGTTGTGGGGTCCCTTTATAAGTTCTTGTTGTAAGTACGTAATATATTCCAAGTACTTATTGCAGGTGTTTATTAAAAGTATTGATGGTAGGCAGTCAGTATAGATGTTCATTATGGGCACTCGGTGTAGGTATTTAATATAAATACTCACTGCAGTCACTCATCATAACTATTCCTGTAATAAAGCATCGTTAGTACTACTCAAGAGCCCGGTTTTGCGTGTGTCTGAGCCTGGTCCCTTGAAGTACATGGGGTCAAGCTAACATTAACTTTAGCCATGTGTACAATAATTTCCCTTATAAAATGAAATACTGATGAGTCACTTGTAAAATGAACAGCTAATCTGTATAAAGCTAAGCCTACCCATAAACCTGGTTGTATGAAAGCCCATGCTGGATTAACTGTTATACAGAATTTGCAACATTTGTGTTTAAGTACAAATGTTGCAAATACCAGTGCTAAACAAGAAACTAGGTCAAATACAGATATGGACACAAATATATAGATATATACATACACATTGCCGCATTGATAACAGCCAAGATTCCTCATCAGGCAATAATACTGAAATAACGTCAAATAATCTTCTGGGTTTAAAGGTTTGATGTTTCTAGTCATACTATAAATAGCATTTGTTTTACCTTATTCTTTCGTCTCACTTTTACGTACATGTATTTGAGTGCGTTCACTTGTGGTTCATGTTCCATAGCAAACTTTCACAGAAAGTAATAAATATTGAGACGCTTGTGAAAGCATGAAAGCAAATCGAGTTGTAAGCCGAGTTTCTCAGAAAACAGCGCACCAATGAAGTTGAAAGCCTTTTCCTGTTACTGTCAATTAACAGTGCCGAACAATTCAGTGACCTCTCCTGATGCCGATATTTTATATGCTTAATCCCTGATACGTTTGGGGCCTCCGTGTGCCAGTTAAGCCCTTTCGAAAGGAGATCCTGTTCTAGCTCTTATGCGGAAATCCATGACGTTATATACATACATACATGCACCCATGCATGCATATATGTAAATGTATATATACCCCTATATTTGTGTGCACACACACACACACACACACACACACACACACACACACACACACACACCACACACACACACACACACACACACACACACACACACACACACACACACACACACACACACACGCACGCACACACATACATAAATCCAGTGTGATTCATGAGCAGGAATGAGCGTGTATCACCAGTAAAAAATCATAAAAAAAACACCTACACACACAATAACTTAAACTAACTTATTGCATTCAGAATCCCAGTTCCTTTCCCCAAACTTTACCAAACAAGGCCAAAATAACCTTCTGAATAGAGAACAAGTAATAAGCAAGTCTCGAAACTTTTTTAATAAATGTAAAGTCGTCCTCAATCCATCGTTGTGGTTGGTACCTTTGTGTATTTATTATAGATCGGAATTTAAAGTACTTTAGAACATAAAGGAAAAGATCACGGAGTATAACACACCACATCAAACCTTTCCTAAAAAGTGAGTGTTAAAAAGTTGAAATAGAATTTTAAACTTTCTCTGTCTCTGTCTCTGTCTCTCTCTCTCTCTCTCTCTCTCTCTCTCTCTCTCTCTCTCTCTCTCTCTCTCTCTCTCTCTCTCTCTCTCTCCTCTCTCTCTCTCTGTGTGTGTGTGTGTGTGTGTGTGTGTGTGTGTGTGTGTGTGTGTGTGTGTGCGCACCTGTCTACCTCTCTCCCCCCCTCTCTCTCTGTCTGTGTATCTGTCTGTCTGTCTGCCTCTCTTTCTCTCTCTCTCTCTTTTTATCTATCTATCTATCTATCTATCTACCTATATATCTATCCATCTATCTATCCATTTATTTGTCTGTCTCTGTCTCGCTCTCTCTCCCTATATGTCTGCCTGCCTCCCTCTCCCCCTCTCTCTCTCCCTGTCTTTCTTTCTCTCTCTTTTTCTCTCTAACTGTCTGTCTGCCACTCTCCCTCTCTTTCTCCGTTTTGTCTTGTTTATCCTAATTACAAGTGCAACAGATTGTAATTTCCTTGCGTTGCCTCCAAATACTAATTTCTTAATATCCCCCCCCCCGTCTTCTAAGAAAGGATATTAAAATGAGTTTTCCTCCGTCTTCAAAGAAATCCCTCTCGAGTTTGCCGTCCAAGTGGTCGATTATGGATTAAGAGGATGCGTACAAGTGGTGGTGTAATGAAAGGGGAAACGAGAACAAAGGGAATACGGTAAGAAATTTGACTTCAAAAGAGAGAGTGATAATGGTGGTGTTTGGGGGAGGGGGGGGGTTGGTGGTGGTTAGGGGGATTGGTGGAGGTAGTAGTGGGGGTGGTGGTGGCTCCGGGAGGGGGTTGGTGGAGTAGTGGGGGTGATGGCGATGGTGATAATGATAATTGTAATCGTAATGATAAGGGTGATGGTAATGCTGACAGTGAAGGTGATGGTGATAGTGATGGTAATGATAGTGATAATATCAATAGTAGTAGTAGTAATAATAATCATTGTCATCATAATAATGATAATGGTAATACAAACAGTAGTTATAGTAGCAGTAGATGTAGTAGGAATAATAGTAGTAGTAGCAGCAGTGATGAGGTTGATGATGATAATGAAAATATAACCAAAACTCACAACGATAATAACAGTCACACTAAATATTACAGTAACACATTTATAGAGATAACTAAACAATCCCGTTCCAGAATGCATCAGTCTGCCATGACTTTTTAAAGAGAAAATGCAAGAGAGTGTTCAGCTAAATTCATTTGTTCATTGCGTCACTGTGGTACACGGTAGACGATTTTTAGAGCGTTCTAAATAAGCAGTTTATTTAATATAAGTTTCTGTAATTTATCACAATAGCAATTCTGTATGAGCTTTCGCCAGCTGAGAATACATATATAATATAAATTGCATTGTAAATTGTTCCACTATGGTTCATCTTAGCCTATAGTGATGAATATATTTAAAATTGGCGATGTTTACCTGTGAGACAAAAAAAAAAACAACACTTTTTTTCTTTCTTTTAATATATTTGTATTCCTATCTGTCTCAGCGACTCTAAACCGCCAATGAATATATAAGTAGCTCATTAATGGTTATCAATCAAAGACATAGCAAACTCTACCATAAATTCTCAGCATTATCCGTCTGTAACTTTTCTTATAATCCTGACATCAAACACTATTAGGAAAGCAATAAATAAATAAACGTCTTGCTTATTGCATAACTTCCTTCGTCCAGCATTTATTACATTTGATTTGTATGTAGTTTGTTTACCTTATTTCCGTTCTGCTTACAACAGTTTTGTCATTTTCCTCTTTCTTAGATCGACCCTTATTTTTCATTTTTCTTCCTTATCTCCCTCCTTCTTTCTCTTCCTTCAAGCTCATTCCTTCTTTAGTTACTTCCTTTCTCCCTCCCTTTAATTCCTCCTCTTTATTCCCTTTCCTTCCTCCTTTCAGCCTTATTTCCTTTTAGTTATTCCTTCCTCCTTCTTTTCATTCTTCTCTTTATTCCCTTTATTTCCTCCTTCCACCTCCTCTTTATTTCTTCCTCCCTTCCTTTATTCTTCCTCTTCTCCTTTCCTCCTTTTAGTCCCTCCACCTTCCCTCCCTCTTTGTGTTTATTTACCTCCCTAAACCTCTTCTTACAGACATCCTATCGCCTTCTTTACCCTTCTTCCCTTCCCTCATTTTCCCCCTCCTTTCAGTCCCTCTCATTCTTTTCCTTCGTGTTCCTCTCCCTTCCTCTAGTCCTCCCTCTTCCCTCCTTCCCGTCCTAATTCCCTTTAATGTCCTCTCCTTCTCGTTTCCCCTCTTCCTCTTCTGACCCTTCCCTCAATTTCATTCCTACGTCTGCTTCTCTTCTCTTCTCTCCCTTCCCTCCTTCCTCCATCCCTTCAGTCCCCCTCCTTCTTCTCTCAATCCCTTCTCTCCCTTCCAGATTCCCTCCTTGATCCCATTCCTCCCTACTTCCCTCCGTCATTCTCACTCATTTCTCTCCGTCATTTATATATATATATATATATATATATATATATATATATATATATATATATATATATATATATATATATCCCCTTCTTCCTTCTCTTCCTCAATCCCCTCCCATCCCTCGCTCCTTGATTCCCTTTCCCTCCCTACATCCTCCCTCAATTCCCTCCCGTCCCCTCCCTGCTTCCCTCCCTCAATCCCCTCCCCTCCCCTCCCTCCCTACATCCCTCCTTAAACCCTTCCTCCCCTTCCCTACATCCCTCCTTCAATCCCCTCCCTCCCCTACCCTCCTTCCTCCCCTCCTACATCCCTCCCAATACCCTCCCCTCCCTGCCTCCCCTCCTCTCCCCTGCCCTTCCCTCTTCCCTCCTACATCCCTCCCTTAAACCCCCTCCTCCCTCCCTCCCTCCCCTGAATTCCTCCCCTCCTCTCCCTCTCTCCCTTGATCTTCCAGACCCAAATATCACGTCTCAAACTTTTTGAAAATTCCCAGGCGCAAAGTTTTTTTTTTCTTTTTTTTTTTTTTCTTTCTTTCTTTCTTTCTTTCTTTCTTTCCTTCTTTATGATCTTCGAAACTTCCTTTTGTCGCGTATTCTTGCGATGTTTTTTTTATCTATTTTCCTTTGGTTATTATCAATTTTCATTATTAGTAGTAGCATTATTATTATTATTATTATTATTATTATTATTATTATTATTATTATTATTATTATTATCATTATTATTATTATTATTGTTAACATTATGAACATATACCATTATTCTCGTTATTACCACCCTGATCGCCATTATTGCCATTAACATTATCATCAAAGCAATCATATTACTATCATCATCAACTTCATCTCATCACCATCTTTGTCACCATCATCATCACCAACACCATAAACATAAACATAATGCCTGTCATCATCATCTTCATCATTATCTTCATCATCATCACCATCATCATCATCATCATCATCATCATCACATCATCATCAATCATCATCATCATCATCATCATCATCATCATCATCATCATCATCATCATCATCATCATCATCATCATCATCATCACCACCACCACCATCATCATCATTATCATCATCATCACCATTTTCATTCATATCATCATCACCATTATGACGATTGCTGTTATCATCACTATTATCATTACAATCCCGATCACAAAGAACTTTCATCATAAGTCATTGTAAGCCTATACCTTTCCCTTTAAAGTTATGATAATAAGATTAATAGAAGAAGAAGAAGAAGAAGAAGGAAGAGGAAGAGGAAGAGGAGGAAGAAGAAGAAGAAGAAGAAGAAGAGGAAGAAAAAGAGGAAGAGGAGGAGGAAGAAGAAAAAGAGGAAGAGGAGGAGGAAGAGGAAGAAGAAGAAGAAAGAGGAGGAGGAGGAGAAAGAAGAAGAAGAAGAGGAAGGAAGAAGAAGAAAGGAAGAGAGGAGGAAGAAGAAGGAAGAAGAAGAGGAAGAGGAGGAGGAAGAAGAAAGAAGAAGAAGAAAAAAAAGGAGAAAGAAGAAGGAGAAAAGAAGAAAAGAAAAAAGAAAAAAAAAAAAACATATATCAGATTTGGAAGGGAACTTTAAAGGAGAGACAAAAGGCCAATAAAAAGTATATAAGTATTTTCAAATCTTCTGTTATAAATAGAATTATGGAATTCATAAGTGTAGAGTGAAAGCCATATCAAGAGGGCGTTGCATGCTTGAATTAATTTTTTCTTATTATAATTGTTATAACCACTGTCGTCATATCATTATCATCATTAACATTATTATTATTATTATCATTATTATTATTATTATCATTATTAACATTATTACAATTATCATTATCATTATTATTATTACTATTATTATTGTTATTATTATCATTATTATTATTATTATTATCATCACCATCATTATTACTATTATTATTGTTATTGTTATTATTATTATTATTATTGTTATTATCATCATTAGCATTATTATCATTATTATTATCATTGTTGCTGTTGATTTTTCCTTTCTCTTATTACTATCAATATCGTTGTTATTATCATCATTATCATCATTATCATCACTGATATTACATGATTGTTATTATTACAATGATGATGATGATAATTGATTTCTTACTACCTACCTTCCTACCTTCTTGCTCTCATTATTATCATCATTATTATTATCAATATTATTATCATAAGATCAATATCATCCTGGTGATTATCATTATTATTATCATCTTCATTAGCTGATGATACAAAATACTCGTTTTCCCCTTCATTATCTTAGTAATTTTGGAACGTATGGTAACTTATTTTCATGGAAATTATTATTATCATTAGTATTATAATTAATTTCACCATCTCAATCACTTTTGTAAATATCCTCATCATTATCCCCACCACGCTTATTAATGTCATTATCAATCATGTTGATTACCATGATTAATAATTCAATAATTATGATCATAATCAGTGTCAGAATTATAATCACGTTTACAGCCATTTCTAATATCATAAGATTATTTGAATAATTAGAAGAAAAAAC